AGATCGATTGAAATTAAAATGCTCGAAAGATTGCTCGAGCTCGAGCTTGAGTCCAATTCAATTTTCAAATAAAATTACCATTAATCAGTACATATATAAAATATTATAATATTTATATATAAGGGTATTTCAGTAATTCACTACATATCTTGAACCGCTAACGAGAGGCTCGGCCTTTCAATACCTATGCTTGAGATCGACTCGATAACATGCTCGAGCCGAGCTTTGACTCGAGCATTCGCGAGCCGCTCGATTCGTTTTCAGCTCAACTGGAGACACAAGTCTCTTGTGATTGATCATGTGTATCAAGTAATTTGATTTTTTTTTGTTTTTTTCTTATTCTCTTCAGGTCTGTGCAGATGGATAGAGCTGAAACAAGGGACACCAATCAACCTGACACAGAGAATAGCGATGACGAACAACGACATCATAGCAAGAGCGGCCTTGGGAAAGACGAGCAGCGACAAGGCTGCGTTCATATCCACCGTGACGGAATCACTCAAATACTTCTCGGGTCTCCACTTGTTCGACGCCTACCCTTCCATCAAGCTATTTCGCCTCATAAGCCCAGCCAAAAGAGACATTGAGAGGCTGCATCGACTCTGCGACAGGATTATCGGAAAGATAATCGATGAGCGCAAACGGGCCAAAGCTAAGAGAGAAAAAAAATATGAGGACTTGTTGGATGTTCTCTTGGAAATCCAGGGTGGTGGGACCCAAGACCTCAGGCTCACTATTGAAAACGTTAAATCTGTTATAGCGGTTAGTGCACATGAATCAAATATTCTTTCCTCTTCTGTCATTGGGTATACTTCTTTATTAAGAACACATTTTTTTTTTTCTTTCAATTATGTAGTTCAGGTTGCATTTTGCATGTGTCTTTTTCTTTGGCAGATGATCTTATGGTCAAAAAGTAAATAAGCGTGCAAATAATAATGTATATGTAGTTCAGGTTGCATTTTACAATAAAAAAAATATATATATACTTTAAATTAAAAATACCAAAAACACACGTATAGTACATGTTAGAAAAAAATTATATACCCAATTCTTTATTAAAAACACAATTAATTTTTTTTTTCTTGCAATTATTAGGAAATGTTCGGTGCAGGAACCGAGACAACAAGCACCGTGGTGGATTGGGCTATGGTCGAACTACTGAGAAACCCAACAGTCCTCAAAAGAGCACAAACAGAGGTGAGACAGGGTTTCGACATCAACAACGAGTCGAGCCTTGATGACCTAAAATACCTCAAGCTGGTCATCAAAGAGTCCTTACGGTTACACCCACCGACACCGTTGGTTCCAAGAGAGGCTCGGTCACAATGCAAGATCAACGGCTATGAGATACCCATAGGAACTCGAATCCTTATTAACTCATTCGCTATCGGGCGGGATCCAACACGCTGGGTCGACCCAGAGGATTTTAAACCCGAGAGGTTTGTGGAAAAATCGGTTGATTTTAATGGGAATAGTTTCGATTACATCCCGTTTGGTAGCGGGAGGAGGGTTTGTCCCGGGATCACGTTCGGGTTGGCAAGTGTCGAGCTCCTGCTGGCCGTGTTGCTTTACTATTTCGATTGGGCACTGCCTGGTGAGGTGAAGGCAGAGGATCTGGAGATGGGTGAGGTGTATGGGTTTACAGCTAAAAGGAAGAAGGATCTTTATGTGGTTCCTCTTGTCAACAGACGTATTGCCGGGTCTTAAGGGAACTTCATCTTCAAACCTAGCTTTATTTTCGTAATTATTATTAATAAAATGTTGCATTGCAATTTCAGCCTTGTAACCATGCATGGATATGTACTACTTTGTTGGGTCTTCTCTCGTACCCTTAATATGTACCCTTTAATATATATATATATATATATATGTGTTCACAAACTTCGGCAATTTCGAAATATTTTTAACTGTTTTTTTAATAATTTATTTTATTTGTATTAGAGTAAGGGCGTGATTGGTGTTTTAAAAATTTATATATTTATTTTGCACCAAAAAAAAGATTTTATATTTATATAATAAATATTTAAAGGCTATGTTTGGTAGATAAATAAACTAGCTTATAACTTATTTGGTTAGCTTATAAATTCCCTAAATTAAAATAAGCCTTGTTTGGTAAGAGTGGACTTTTTCAAAAAGCTCGAGCTTATTTGATAAGCTTCTTTAGGTAGCTTTTCAAATAAGTTAGTTGAATTTTTTATTCCAGCTAGCTTATCAGCTAATTTTACCAAACATTTTATCATATAAGCTAGCTTTTCAGCTATAAGTCATAAGATATAAGCTATAAGCTAAAAAATTATTGATAAGCTATAAGCTAGCTTATCAACTAGTTTTACCAAATATAGCCTAAATGTGCAAAGCAATGTACAAGCCATTTGCAGTAATTTTTTTACCTTTTACATTGATTGTGGGCTAAGTTAGTTAATCTAGTACTTTTGATGAATAATGATGTGAAAATACCTAAATTCGGTCAAACGATATTTGAATCGTCCTTCGAACCTCTCTGACACTCTGCAAAGCATCGTCTGGAGGGGTCTCAACGTAAAGTTTTCGATGCACAAGTCGGAAGCTTCTTTGAAAGTCTCTAGTATATGTAGTGTAGAGTAATAATATTGTGTTCGAGGATTTCCATGCATGTCTCTGCGTTATTTATGCAAGTTACCTTAATCTAGTTGGAAGATTTGCTAAGATCTTCAGAGATACGCAATAATCCTTTCCCCACGCATATCTGCTTTCTAAACAATTATGATCTTTCCATGCTTAGATGGTCTTTAGGTCGACCCACCTTGGCATTTATCCATATTGCCTCTTTAGTCTAATTTCATCATTAAAGATCCTAACCTGACTTCTGAGGTCAAACGAGCTCCTTCCTACCTGAACGACATGACCTCTGTTCTGGAGACCTAACCCTGGTCTACACGAGCTACTTTCGATTTGAGTGAGCTATTAAGAGTTTCTACGATATAACGTATCATCTAGTGACATGAATGCTTTGGACTAGAAGACTATGTTGGTTTGTATACTAAAAGGTCGACATTGTTTATATAATTCCAACATTTTTTTAATAAGAAATCATATTTAGTCAAAAGTGCATGTTCTATTATTTTAATTTGAGATATATATCATGGTTTGATGTGTCGAATATAAGATCTTATTATCATTTCGTTGTAAAATATAAACTATATGGTTCACAACATAGACATAATATATTGAAAAAACTATCGTGAAATGTTGTAGGCTTGAATTAGTTTATCTTTGCTAATGAATTACACTAGTACATTTCGAATGTATTGAACGAACCATGAAAGATAAGATTATTTTATACTGACCAAGTATAAATGATCTAGGCCCCAGTTATTACTTGTAATGTTCACCTGTAAGATAATAAATGAATATATATATACTCAGTTATTATTTATTTAGTTGCGAATGAATGAGATTTATATAAATCAATAGCCTCGTTATTTTAGTAAATAATTTCGAGTACATGATGGGCCGTTAAGATTATTTACGGTCATACCAGTCAAATTAAAAAATTAACTATAATTAAAAAAACCAATAAAAACCCAATCAAATCATATTCAATCACAACTGTCTCTGTGACTTTAATTTTTCCAAATTTTTTATTAATATTATTTTACATAAATATTGTTGTTTAAAATACTATACAATATTTTAAAAAAAATTATAAACTAATTAAATAGCGGTTTATGGACCACTCCTAAACATTTAACAGTTTGATCATCCATTTTTATGTTTATATTAAATTAATTAATAATATATCTATTAATAAATTTATAAAGATAAAAATGACACTTGCGACTCCACGTGTTACAATTTGGGCTGCAGTGCTCCGGAGAAGATGACACCTTTCCTCAGTCGTGGCCTTATGTTATCATCTCCGTCCTCTTAATTAAGTGCAACATCATCGTATATATCTACACACTACTGTGGAGTGTAAGAAGAAAGATCCATAAAATAGTAATATATATATATATATATAGTAGATTCAGAAATTAATTAATGGGTTCAGAAACATTTCTGGAAGTAATTCTGGCCATACTGCTGCCGCCTGTTGGTGTTTTTCTCAGATATGGTTGTGGAGTAAGTAATCATTCATTATATATCCATCTCTCTATTTTTTTTTTCCTAATCAATGAAAATTGAAACCTATATTAAGCAATATAAGTATTTTTTCTATCGGAATTTGTAATCGTTAGATCGTCATGTAACCGTCGTGGATACTTGATCTACAGGTTATAAACCTCGATCGAATGGTTGGGACAACTGTAATAGCATCTCCCTTCCTTTCTTTATCTTGTAAATAATTTGGAAATTTGGATTTTTTTTTTTCTATTTTTATTTTTTGCTGGTCAATTGGGTGGAATAATATGTCAGTCAAACTATAAGCTACAAGACTGAAAATAACTACAATTTATTTTCAAATATATTATATTTTTTTTATTTAATTTATGTGTTGAATTAATGGATATATACATATCAGGTGGAGTTTTGGATTGATTTGCTGCTGACAGTGTTGGGATACATACCGGGGATCATATACG